AGCAGGGAGCCCGATGTGGGACTCGATCCCAGGACTCCAGGATCATGACCTGAGCCGAAGGCAGTCGCTCAACCAACTGAGCCACCCAGGCACCCCAGATCCTACCCTTATTTCTTGAAACACTTTCTCTTTTTTTAACCTAATACTATCTTGATCCTCTTATCTTTTATTTCTTTCTTCTTCCTTTGACTCAATACTATAAATAAGCTCTACCTAGGGCTTAGCTTTTAGTCCTGATTTTCTCCATGTATGTGCTCTTCCTAAGAAAGCTTATCTATGGTCAGACTTTCTAATTCCCTAATGGCCATTTCCAATTTACTATTAGGCCTTTCCATATTTTCATTATCTTTAGTCTTATGCTCCACTTAATGTTTCTTCCCAATACAAAGCTGTATGTCTGAAAAAGACTTTGGTCTTTATGTTTGATGTGGATGCAAAAATAAAAACGGAGTCCTAATGAAAACCTATCCTACATTAATAGGAATTTGATATCTCTTTTTTTTTAAAGATTTTATTTATGTATTTGACAGAGAGAGAGAGACAACGAGAGAGGGAACACAAGCAGGGGGAGTGGGAGAGGGAGAAGCAGGCCTCCCGCCAAGCAGGGAGCCCAATGCGGGGCTCGATCCCAGGACCCTGGGATCATGACCTGAGCCAAAGGCAGTTGCTTAACTGACTGAGCCACCCAGGCACCCCAGGAATTTGATATCTCTTGAAGTTAAAAGAAAACACATCTGAAAGAAAACAGTAATGATGAGAAGAGTACTAAAAACCATTCCCTATGAGAAATGGTTAAAGTTACTAATATTTTTTTAATCTAGAGATTATATAGGGCATCATGATCACCATGTTTACATAGTTGAAGCTATGTGACATGGGAAGACCTGAGGTTTTTCTTTTGTAGCAAAACTACACCCATCAAGTAGATTTGGGGGAGGAAAATTTTAACTTGATATAAAGAAAAAAATTTTACTAAACAGAACTGTACAGAAGCAGAATGGGCTGTACATCTTTATTTTTCAATTGTTATCACTCGTCTTTCTTGAAATGTCTTGCTGCCCCTTCTCCCAATTATCCATCAAAATCCTATCCCTCCTTTAAGATTTATCCCAAGCTTTCATCCCTCCGTAAACTCCTCCCTGACTACTCAGATTTTATTGATCCTTTTCAACTCATGTTGCTAATTTCCTAGCCCACCCCAACTAAATCAAGGGCTCTCTGAAAATAGAAATAGAACATACTACTTTATAACCTTAAGTATAGAACACAATGCTGAGCTTATAATAGACATTCAGTAAATTCTTATTGATTTACTGTTCGATCACAAACTTCCTGATTTCTAATCTGGAATCATTGGAATTGGTTAGAATTTGAACCAGGTTGAAATGCCCAAGAATCTGATCATTTATTTTTATTTTTTTAAAAAGATTTTTAATTAATTTATTTGACAGAGAGATAGGAGAGAGCTCAAGCAGGGGAAGCAGCAGGCAGAGGGATAGGGAGAAGCAGACTCCCTGCTGAGCAGGGAGCCTGACGCAGGGCTCGATCCCAGGACCGTGGGATCATGACCTGAGCCGAGGGCAGACGCTTAACCCACTGAGCCACGCAGGCACCCCTGCACCTGGTCATTTCACACTTATTTCACAGAGGAGATGCCTTCTGATTTTAATAGTAAACCCGAAGGAGGTAATGAATTTGCCATTACTTGCCATCCAAGCTTATATTTTCCTACTTACCAAAAAATACACTGAATTTAGAGATCTTCTAGGATTTTAGATTTATAGCTCAGACAATTTGTTGGGAGAATTAGCAGAATGAAAATGCCATCATTTCTTCATATCTGAAAATTATTTAACACAAAAATCATCTGATGAATAGGGATATATGACATGGAGGAACACATACAACACTAGAGAACTGTCACTCTCGTTTATATTCAGGTCTGCCTGTTGTCATAGTTACTGATGTACTCAAAGCCATTTCCCTCCTGAATCACACTCTGCAAACCTTCAATGAAAAGCCATTCTTCTTGCTTTATTTTTCTCTATCCAAGAACTGAAGCTAAAAAAATAGCATCAATTGCATGGATGTTTTTATATTTTTAGCAAGATTTTAAGCATACGAAAGGAATAAGGGGTTTAATCAAAATAAGTGTGTCTGATTGAAGTCTCCCCTCATTTGTTGAGCAATGATTCACTGAGGAGCTAGGTGCTGAGGACACAGCTGTGATTATGGCCCACTCCCTGCCCTCGAAGTTAACAGAGCTCTGTGAGGGAGAGAGGTAAGTGAGGGATGGATTTCAGTGAAACGCAATCAGTTTTGTGCCAGAAGCAGAGTATGGAAGCCAATGGAAACACTAAAGAGAGATACCCTGTAAAGTTTGGGGTGATAATACAGTCGGATCAAAGGGAGGTTTCTATCTTGTGACTCTTGAAGCATTGTTGCTGTTTAGCAAATATATTGTGGTCACTTTGGGTACAGGACACCCGTGTTACCCTGCAGGTCAGGTTCACAGAGCAGTGGTGTGAGGCACCCTTCCCTCCACACACATATCACCTGCTAATATTCACACCCAGTCTCTCCTTTCTGCTTTGGCTACAGGAACTCCTTCACCGACATCCTCCGTGCCATCCTGCTGTCCCTGGAAGTCCTTATCGAAGATCCAGAGCTTCAGATAAATGGCTTCATTTTAATTATAGACTGGAGTAATTTTTCCTTCAAACAAGCCTCCAAACTGACCCCTTCAATCCTCAAACTGGCTATTGAAGGGTTGCAGGTATGTTCAACAAATGTACAACCAAAGTACAAGCCTGTATGAAGATGCACCTTTTTCTTATTTCAACCAAAGTAATATTTGTCCTTGGGAATAGCGAAGGAAAACTAAGACACAGTTCACCTGTGAAACCTCCATATTTTCACTTCAGCCTGAGTTAGAATTTTTTTTTTAATTAGTCTTCATTTTCATTAACAGCTCCAAATTACTGTTACCACAGGCACAAATTACCTACCGTAGCAATTATGAATAAAGCTCAGAGATGTTTAGCCTAATCTATCTGAGAGTTCACAAAAATTAAAACTAGAAAACATCTGCTCTATGAGTAGGTCCTATATAGGGGTGGCATGGGGGCTTTCCGGGATTTCTAGAAGCAGTTTTGTGCCGAGGAAGTGCATCCTGTGGATCTTCACTTCCCAGAATGCACTGTGCTTGAAGTGTTTGTACTAAAGTAAATCACTTCAGTGCCAACAAAGGAAGCAGACAAAACTCTACTTCTTGTTCATATGACCGGTTGTCAGGACTTTGGAGAAGGGGATTTTGTGCAGTGTGGAGGCTGGGGTAGTCAGTGTCTGGGGATCCCTTCTACGTTTAAAACCCAGTAATTCTATGAAAAGTAACAAACTCAGAGGGACAATCCTGCGTAGCTTCCTGGTGACAACATTATTATAGTACAAGGTAAAGGCACAGTTCCGGAAAATAAAACTCATGTCCCTTCTTAATTTTGTAGGAAGATTGACTCAGTGGGGTGGACCCCCCGCCAATAGATGGCAGGTATGTGTAGAAAGCAAAATATTTGCTAATTCTCAGATCAGCAGCTGTTAGTCACGCTCCTCAAAGTGCAAAAGTAGGAGACCCATTTCCATTACTCATCATTCTCTAGTGTGATGACTTATTGATGGGTCTGTTTCACAGAATAAACTAGGGCTTATTTATATTTCGCCTCCAACAAATATCTAGCAGCACGTGGGCCTCTGATAAGTGTGTTTATTGAATGGATCTTATTGTATTGAAATGGTTTCCTATTTCAAGGGTAGGAGAAATAAAGCAGGCATTTCTGAAGAGGAGGAAGTGCTCACTCTTCCACTAAGGCCACATTATCCTGGGGGGCTACATCAGGCAGTATATTGGAGGCACATTCTTGAAGTTGCTTTCGCATTTCTAGACTACATGGAGCTTCCTGCCTTGCCTCAACCATACCAATCATAAACTGGTCTGTCCTTCACTATCAATCACTTTCTCTCAACTTTAGCTCCTTTTCTCCAAACTCCTCTTGTCTGAGTCTCTGAACGTCTGGCCTCTCTCTCCTTACAGCTTTTATCAAAAGTTGTAGAGCCAGCTGCAAGGTTTATTTCATGCCCTGTAACTATGCTGACCATAATTCCAGGATCTTCTGTGGTAGCACAAGCTTCATTTACTTTTATCCTTTTTAAAAAAGATAATTCATTACATGTGTAAGTAGCTGTGATTCAAGCTCTGTGTATTTATAAGACTTATTTTTTTCATATATCAGGAAGGAAAATGTCCTTTATCCAAACCTGTGTTCCAATTTTTCTTTCTGAAAATGTGTGGATTATGTAATATGTCCCTTGCCAACTTCACCAGGCTGATGTGGGTCTTACTGAGTTAATGCACGTGAACGTGTTTTGAAAGGTAAAGCTATGCATAAGCTTATAAGATATTTTTTGCGAGAAATACTAGATGACCTTTTGTGGGCAAGGTGGCACCCATGGGGCTTTCCTTGTACCAGGGCCTGGGATGATTTACACAATGTCCTGTAGTTCTGGTTAAGGAATAACTTCTCCCGGAAGAAGAGGAGATGCATGAGGTCAGGGTCAGAGTGGAGAGAAGGTACTTTCTCCCATCATCTCACAAAGCAGTGGCCTGAACCCCTTTACTACTCTCCCTTTATATAAGCTCCCTTGACTGTGGGAAAGTATCGGCCCAATCTGGAGTCAGGCTATCTGGACTGGAATACAGCTTTTTTTTTTTTTTTAAGATTTTATTTACTTATTTGACAGAGAGAGGGTGAGAGTGAGAAGAGAGCATGAGCAGGGAGAGCAGCAGAGGGAGGGAGAAGCCGACTCCCTGCTGAGCAAGGAGCTCGATCCCAGGGTGCCGGGATCATGCCCTGGGCCGAAGGCAGATGCTTAACCGACTGAGCCATCCAGGTGCCCCAGGATTATAGCTTTTTCTGGGAATTCTGCCTGCCTAGTCCCTGAAGATTTGGGAACCCTGAGGAAGGTGCATTCTCTCCTGCTAGGAGAAGGAAGCCGATGATCCCAGAAGAAGCTGAGCTTGGGTGTAGTTCCTCCATCTAGGATATGTGCCCCGTGGACCATCTAGCTGTCGTCCTGGCAACTGTGAGGAATCCCTCAGGGTCCCTGCACACAGGTGCTGCTTTCACTTCACATAGGGCAGTCAGATCTGGCCAGCCCCTGGCAACTTCTCACACTAGGCTATCCTCTCTCACGCTTTGGAGACATTCAGCCCCCCACCCCCACCCCCCCACTGGCTCTCCCAGTGATCTGTCTTCACTGCTGGGATTGTTTTTATCCACAGAGTAGCCATTAAAACCCCTTGACCTTTCAAAAAAGTCATAATTGGTACTAAGCAGAATTCATGCCTTCATGCTTACACTTGTTGTATAAAGAAGATTCCATAGACATCTCCGTTTGTCAGCCATGAAGATTCAAGATAAACTCTACAACTCTGCTGACGGGGTGAAGGCACAGACTTTTGTGGAGAAAGGGAAAGTGAAGCGAGGCCAGTGTCAGTGAAAGAAGAGAAGCCCCTGCTCTTCCTTCTGTGTACCCTCTGAGAGGCTTGAAGAGCTTCGAGTGTCTGCTAGACATGTGGGAAATCACAGTGGGGGGGGGCGAGGTCCTATGTTCCAGTGAAGAGAACTTGCTCTCTCTGCTGTTCTGCCTTTCATAGGGTAGATGTGAGACAGCAGCTTCGTCAGGGGAAATAATTAAACCACTTTTGTGCTAGGCCATCTGGTTTGGGGTTTTAGCTATTTATAGGAGCTGTCTCAGATTACCTGCTGCTCAAACCCTAGATAATTTGGAGCCCTGGGATATGACGGTCCCCATACATAGGTAATACAACACCTCCCACAGGGAGAAGGGGGTGGGAGCTCACTGCTCAGGCAGTGAGAATTTAGAACCATTTTTGGTCAGTCCCACACCTTGTATCACAACCTAGTTCCCAAACCCTGAGTTTTAGCCCTATTACCTCCGTTCTTAGTTCTCTGTAAAGATGGTTATTCAGTGCAAACTTCAATTACTAACTGTTGCGTGTTGAGTTCTTGAGGGGCAGATTCTGACAGAGATTAGGAGGTTGGAGGTTTATTAGGGAGTACTCTTGGGGTCAACTCCTGTGGAAGCGAAGCTGTGGAAGAAAGTTTGCCAGCAGGAGAAGCTAAGCTGGGGTTCAGTCATTTCCAAAGAAAGCCTCAGGTGTTGTGAGACCGAGATGACCCTTCAGATTTTTCCCTGACTGGGGCCAGGGGGTTGGACTTTGGTATTCCCATATTGTTTAGTCACTGGGTACCGGCTGCCCTGGGAAATGGCTGTGAGTTGGGGCAAATGGCTCTCTTCATCCTGAAGCCTGAGAGGGTACTGTTATCTGCCAACTTTCTGCTGACAACACCCCCAGCAACTGGAGAGTAAGTCCTCAGTCCTGAATGAGACGTGGCAGTAGATCAGAATATCTACCATAATAAGCAAAATATATATATATATTTGGAATATCCTGTAATGTAATGTCAAGGAGCTTCCTTTAGCTTGCATCTGGGTGCTTAACTGCTTTTTTTCTTGGTTACATACAATCCCCAGTCATACCCAAAGCGGAAATAATACCGGGTAATATTGAGGTGATGGGCACTGGGCTGGCAAATCAGCATCAGCCCTCTATTTGGGTCTACTGCTTGTATTTCTATGTCTCGAAAGTCAATTATATATATTCAACTGATCCTTGACAAAGGAAAGGCAATACAATGGAGCTGTGAGAGTCTTTTCAACAAATTGTTCTAGAACTGGACATCCATGTGCCAAAGACTGAATCTAGATACAGACCTTATACTCTTCACAAAAATTACTACATAATGGATCACAGACCTAAGTATAAAATTCAAAACTATAGAAATCCTGTAAGATAACATAGGAAAAAAACCTGTGTGACCTGGGTTATGGCGAAGATTTTTTTAGACACACCACCAAAGGCATAATCTATGAAAGAAATAATTGATAAGCTACACTAGGTTAAAATCAAAGACTTCCGCTCTACAAAAGACTGTGTCAAGAGAATAAGAAGAAAAGTCACAGACCGGGAGAAAATATTTGCAAAGATACAACTGATAGAGGACTGTTATCCAAAATATATAAAGAAATCCTCAAACTCAACAATAAGAAAACTAACAATCCGATTAAAAAATGGGCCAAAAACCTGAATAAACACCAAGGAAGACATATAAATGGCAAATAAACATATGAAAAGATGCTCCCCATCATATTCATCAGAGAAATGCACATTAAAACAACGAGATACCACTATACGCCTAATTAGATTATTCTGTGTCAACGTAGGTTCATCAGTTGTAACAAATGCACCATTGGGGGGAAGGAGGAGAAGGCTGATAACGGGGGCAGGGATATGTGGGAAATCTCTGTGTCTTTCCTTCAATTTTTCTATGAACTTAAAACTGCTCTAAAAAAAAAAATCTTAATGAAAAAAAGGTAATTATATTGCCTCTAACAACAATTATCAAAAAAATGGTATGTGCATAGAACTTGGGTTATGTGCTTCATAGGCTGAATTAATGAGTTGTAATAATAATCACATAGAAGACTGCTCTTTAAAGGATCATCAGATTTTTAGATCAAAAGTTACCCTGTATCAGCCATTCATGAAATTCTAATAGTGTATGTATTATACATTCCTCCTGTTACAGCAATGCTTTGAGGAAATGTCATTGTTTAGAATGTTAAGTTGTCCCAGTT